TGCAGATAGCAGACCAAAGCTCCTTGCTGGTTCTCCAGAAGGTTTATCTGGCCATGTGGATGGAAGGCTGAGAGAAGCGAGGATGAACCATCCTAAGGGTTTCACTGTGGACGATAAGGGCAACATTTATGTTGCAGACGCTATGAACATGGCAATAAGAAAGATCAGTGATACAGGTAAGCTAAAATGGCCCATTCTGAGGTAGTCCACATGGCATTGTCTGGTCCCCCAGGCACCCTCTGTTTGTTCTGTGGTTTTCCTGGAGCTTCTCCAGCACTTATTAACTACTTGTGCCCAAAATTGCATCCCGGACGAGGTATGCTGTCAGTGTGCCTAAAAATTGTTTCTCCAGCAGTTATTTAGTAATAGACACCTAGAGGTTGTGCTAAAGGGAAATCTAACCAGCATTCTACTCTTGTCTCTTGACTAGCAATATAGTTTGATTCAAATTTCTACAATCATTTGACCTTCACTGTTGGTTTTCTGTTCAAATTCTTTTAGCACATTCATGTTTCTCTTGTAACTAATTTCCTTCAGAATGAACTAATCAATTTACTTTCTTCGCTAGAGATTACCACTAATTGAATCTAGGTTTAGGTAAATTTTGTTTGGAACTTCTTCTAGAGCTATCTATCGTAAATATCCTTGTTTTTTATATTGTAGATTAAGTTCTGACATATTGTCCCAAGGAATGTTATGTGGTGGGCTTTGGACAAACATAAAGTCCCAACGAAGTACGTCAGGCTCATTAAGGACATGTACAACAATGTTGTGACTAGTGTTCGAACAAGTGATGGAGACACGGATGACTTCCCGATTAGGATAGGACTACATCAAGAGTCAGCTTTGAGCCCTTATCTGTTTGCCTTAGTGATGGATGAGGTCGCAAGGGACATACAAGGGGACATCCCTTGGTGTATGCTTTTCGCGGGCGATGTAGTGCTAGTTGATGAAAGCCGGACAGGAGTGAATCAGAAATTGGAGTTATGGCGGGAGACTTTGGAGTCCAAAGGTTTTAGACTCAGTAGAACTAAAACTGAGTAGATGAGATGTTACATCGGCACTACTACTCGGGAGGAGGAAGATATTAGTTTGGAAGGTCAAGTAGTGCCTAGAAAGGATACCTTTCGATATTTAGGATCAATGCAACAGAGAGACGGGGATATTGATGAAGATGTTAGCCATAGAATCAAAGCAGGGTGGATGAAGTGGCGCCAAGCATCTGGTGTCCTATGTGACAAAAGGGTACCACAGAAACTAAAAGACAAGTTTTATAGGACGACGATTAGACCTGCTATGTTGTATGGTGTAGAATGTTGGCCTACGAAAAGACGACATGTTCAACAGATAAGTGTCGTGAAAATGCGTATGCTGCGTTGGATTTGCGATCATACAAGAAGGGGTCGAGTTCGGAACGATGATATACATGATAGATTAAGGATAGCACCAATTGAAGAAAAGTTTGTCCAATACCGATTGAGATGATTTGGACATGTCCAACAGAGACCTCTAGAGGCACCGGTGCGTAGTGGAATTCTAAGCCAGGATAGTAACGTGAAGAGAGACAGAGGAAGACCGAAGTTGACTTGGATGGAATATTCCCAAAGACTTAGCCTTAGATAGGAGTGTTTGGAAAACAGCTATTCACGTGCCTGAACCTTGATTGCTTCTGCTGGGTTTCAACTCTAGCCTACCCCAACTTGTTTGGGACTTAAAGGCCTTGTTGTTGTTGTTGTTGTAAGTTCTGACATATTGTATTATAATATTTAGGGGTTACAACCATTGCTGGGGGAAAATCAATTAGAGGAGGGCACATAGATGGGCCCAGTTATGATGCAAAATTCTCAACTGATTTTGAGATCCAGTACATCAGTAGTAGCTGCTCTCTCTTGGTCATTGATAGAGGAAACCAAGCAATTCGAGAGATTCCACTCAACGATGATGACTGTGCATATCAGTATGAAGCTGGTTTTCCACTAGGTACATTGCACTTAACCTCTCCACTCGTATTACTTGACCATATTTTACTTCTGCTCTGTAAAGTCAGTCATATGGGCACTGCATTCAGTGCTCAAATGACAGCAAAAATGAATACAGGGTTTGAATAGTAATTACTTTTGATTTTGAATGCTCACAGGGTTTGCATTGCTTTGTGCTGCTGGTTTCTTTGGTTATATGCTTGCATTGGTCCAACGCCGGCTTTTAGGGATGGCATCAACAACAGATGTAAGTTTGTCATACTTTTCTTTATCTCTATCACCTCCCCCCCCCAAAAAAAAAGAGAGAGAAAAGAAAAGGTGACATAGGCACATTGGTACATTTGCTGTCAACAAGTAAAATTTATGACTAGTGTGTGGACCACAGTTTGTAGGCTTGCTGTAAACCAGCACATTGGTACATGCATATTTCACCATCACCATCAACCTTTGGCTATGCTACAGCTCATATTCTTATATTCATAATCTTGCGGCTGCAGCCTGTGCACTCGATATGTCTGATACCAATCCTCACAGCTACTAGAACTGGATGTGTGCCATAACAGTTAAAATGCAAATCTTTTATGGTTCAAGTAATAGATGTTTAGATGATATTTCAGCTTTAGATAACTGATTTTGTGAGTTAGGTAATTGAACAATGATAATGTATTGATTCTGAGGACACATCTATAGAAGAGTGCATAAAAAATAAATGACAGTTTAATTTGTTATTATCGTATTTTAGACCATTGTTAAAGTACAAATGATGACAAAATGCATTATTTTTGCTATGTCACTCATGTATTAATTTACAGTTGCATCTTTATTAAACTAAAATTTTACCTCACAGGAACCTCAAGCGCCTCCAAGACCCAGCATTGCAAGTATCCCTCCATACCAGAAGCCTTTAAATCCTTATGTTTGTCAACCATTCATCCCAAGAGAAGAAACTGCAAAACAGGAAACTGAAGAGGGGTTCTTCACCTCAGCTGGCAAACTCATTGGAGGGGCAAAATCATCTGTGGCTGAGATATTTGGTTTCAAGAAGAAGCGCGTGAGCAGGCCATACCATCAGCAGCGACGAAGAGCCAACCCTTGGCCAGTGCAAGAAAGCTATGCCATCCCACATGATGAACACCCTCCAGCACTGGACACAAGAGCACCAACCCCTCAGAAGAACTACAGCTTGATGACAAAGGAGCCCGAGAAGATCCACTACGTCCGCCATGGGCACCCGTATTTCAATAGCTGGGACGGTCACCGTCATCCTCAGCAGCAGCCGGACCTGCAACTGTATCACCAGCAGCAGCACCTGCAGCAGCACAGGCAGTACTCTGCAGGCCCACAGACATTTTACGAGCAGAGCTGTGAGGCTACAAATGAGATCGTCTTTGGCGCGGCCAGGAGGTGGACAGCAAGCAGCGCATGGTCGAGATCAAGGCCGTGAACTATGGAGACACATTCTATGAGCAGTACGGAATGCGCTACCGCAACAATTTCATTGGCTACAATAACAATAACAGTAACAACTATTGAAAAGCCTGTCTATTTCTTTAATTTTCCCTGCCTCCTGTTTTTTGCCCGTCTTAGTTACATGGTTAGATGTACTGGTTGTCCCCTTATTTGCACCCCTCCACATTCCCTGGAACAGAAAATAGAAAGTGGAGGCAGCAGAAGCTATCTCCTGTTTTGACTTGTACAATGGGGAAACTGGGTGTTGGAAGTACATCGTGATTATATCTTCCTTAGACTATCTGATGTATGTATTTTACTGACATATTTCAGATTTCAGACTAGTAGGTACAGCAATAACTTCTTACATTCCTGCAGTTTTATGGTTAAGATGTGTTGTGAATTGTGATTCCATGGAAGTATGCCTTCCTGACCACCTGGTCTACCAAGGTGGATAAGAACTAATGGCATCTGAGAGCTGCCAAACTTGCCTTGCTTCATGCTGCCTGGTGATTGCTTCAATCTGAAGTCACACCACATTGACTGCCACAGGCACCTGTTCCTTGGATGCCTGTAGCATTTGAGATTATGGGAACGATGCCAGTTACAGGCGATGGATATCACCGAGCCTCCAGGCCCCGTGATGGCACTGAATGCGTTCACCTAAAGAGGACAATCAGGAGACACACAGACTGTGTGGACGGTGGTCATTCTTCAGAGCTACGTGAACAGTTTTATTGGCAAGGGTGTGGTTCTGATGATAGGTAGGCCCTAATTTTCAAAAAGAAAAAAAGACAGGCGGGTCCAGCACGGCGAATACGTAGGCAATCCACATGAAAACAGGAGCCAGGTCCAGCACGGCAAATACGTAGGCAATCAAATGAAAACAGGAGCCAATCAAGATGAAAAATGGGATTACCTGCTGCCAGTGATGCCAGGTAGCGTTGTTGCTATCGGAGAAATGAAGGTGCCCTGGCTAAGGAGGATAATTCTGGCCGTCTAGGACCATTGTTAGCTGGGGTGTGGGCTACAGACATTGAGACATACTGTGTCTGAGCTCTGATTACATCGTGATAGGGAAAAGACTGACTATGAGTCTATGACATGTTTCTAACACCTAAGGCAAGCTTGATGCAGAATCAGCGTGAAAACAGGTCCCTGGAAAATTTGAGAAAAAAAGAAGGAACTGATTGTTTTATCATATGCTTTTTAATCTACAATGAGAAACATTGGATCGAAACATTCGAAATGCAAAATATATGGTGATCATACGTTTTTTAATCTACAATGGGAAACATTGGAAATGCAAAATATATGGTGAAAGTAACTCTTCCGACCTGACTGAATTGAACTGGTTCCTATCTACGTCACAATTCAGCATAAATGTGTGTTGGTTCAACAAGAGAGCTTCGGTTCCCTGCACTACTGCCTACTAGTGCCATAACAATTGTTGGATTTCTTTGTGCTGACATGCTTGCTATTGCTAGGTTATTAGGTAGCTACCCTATAAAAGAAAAAAAAAGTTGCTTCATTATGAATTACAACTTGCTTCATCTTCTGTAATATGTACATTTAACTGTTCATCTGGTAATTGTCTCCTCTAGATACATCTGGGATTGATCCAAATATCTGAACCATCAAGCTGCCAGCTGAAAGAAAAAAGAACCAATCAACTTCTATATTTAAAAACATGAAGCTACTGCAGAAAAAACTAAAGACCAAGGCTCAAGGTCAACTTCTCCATCTAAAGTTTTAAACCCATCAAGATACTTGCAGAAAAAAAAAACAAATGATCAAGGAGTCGAGATGCAAGCTTCTCAGCTTCTTCAACAATTAAACATGAAAATTACAATGAAGGGAAATTTATGATCCATAATGTCATTGACAACACGGTGAATACGTTTTTACCTATGATGAAGATAGCCCCGACAAGTCCTGTGACGCCCCATCTCTCACCGAGCATTGCCCATGCAAAAGCAGCACCCCATACAGGTTCCAGACCATAAATAATTGCAGTTTCTGTAGCTGATACATCACGCATAGCCGCCACCTGAAAGAAAAAAGGAGAGAAATTCCACAAAATCAGCAGTGATAACCAAAATGACCTCATGCAAGAGAATAGCTGATTTGATGACAACAAAACTAACCTCTGCCAATAAACAAAACGCAGTTGAGAATATGCCTGTGTATAGAATTGCTGGCCAAGGAAACAACATCACCATACCAAATAACTCTGATGGTGGCCATGTTTTGAAATTCCAGTGTTGCACGTTTCGTGTGAAGCATTTAAAAATATATGACGCTGCTGATAGGATTGCTACAACAAACACCTGGTTTTACACTTGTTTAAGAACCTTGTCCAGAGGAACAGAAAGGACTCGCATAACTGAGGTAATGAGTCTTAGTCAGAATACTAACCTCACATCCAACAAGAGTTAAGAAATTTTCTTTCTTTATATTTCTGGAAATATGCTCAGTTCTGAGCATATGAATTGCAAAAGAAAAGGCACTCACGAGGTTCAGAAGATCACCAACCTGATGGAAGCATGGGATGAGATCATGAGAACATTAATCAATATGGCAGGCGCAATCCCTAGTGGTGTAGTTCTCAAAATATTCAAATTACTATAGCAGCGATTAATGAGTTAAAACTTTGAAGACAACAGTAACCTTGACAGAGCACAGTGTCATAGGCCATAAGACAAGCAGACAAAAGGTCCAGACAAACATGTTAACCTGTCGATGTAGATAATCCGACTTACACATGGCGGAGAACCACTTAGCTCCAGTATAGCAACACCAAGAAGTGATAAAAATGCTCCAAACCATGTAAGAGCAGGTACTTCTGCTCCAATAAGACCATCCAAGACAGGGACAATGATCACCTGCAACAATTTGAATAAAGAATAGTGATGTGATCATATTCATACGTTTTAGGGAAGGCATTGTTGTAGAGTTCTTGAAAAGAGTTCTTACAGTGAGTGCAGAAATGAAAGATGCACGCCCAGCATCAGCTGTAACTAACCCCATAGCCTGAGCCAGGTAGGCCAAGCTTACCCAAATGCCCAACTCTAGTCCTCTAAAAAAGATTTGCATATCCCTCAGCGATTTTAGTAACAGCGGCACAAAAGGGATGGCTGCTATAGTGAACCTTAACATATTGAAAAGGTCAGGGTCCAAAAGAGCCTCCGCCTGTTTCACAACTGAAATGTTGCTAGCTGAAAGAAATAAATTGAGTCTTAGCTGAAAATGTAAGAGGAAATCAGCATGCAGAGTAACTACCAGAACCAGTTCAAACACAAAGTAGACCCTTGAAAGAAAAACACACACACAAAGCAGATGATAAGGTACAGCAACTTTTGCATGCTGATTAGTATGTAAATATAAGAAATGTAGAATAAACTGAACCAAATGAAACGAAGTGGCCACATCATTCAACAAAAGGATCAATGAATTTGACCAAAAGGAATACACTGCAAAAGCTCTCACACGAATGAAGCCTGTAGTAGGTTCACCATTCATATAGGTAAATTTGATGGCTACATTAATCCCCAGAGAAAAAAAATCAATCACTCACGATATTTATATCCGTGGCAAAACTCAGGGAAATTCAGCACAGAAGAAACAACCCCCATCCCATACCCGCCTCACCATTTTCTTGTCAACCATAACATCGAACAGGTGAACCATTTTCTTGTCAACGATAACATCGAACAGGTGAGGTGCAAACATAAACGACCCTCCGCCTCAAGAAGGCGAGGCTCTGTACGAACGTACCAAATATAAGGGTGACCAGATTGAGTAGTACGAGGCTCCGGGCCTTCCTGGGCACCCAAGACGCCACCTTCCGCCACGCAGCGCGCGTCCTCCGCCTCGCCGACCACAGGGCTGTCCGCGGGGGCGGGGGAGATGGGTCCTCAGTTTCAGCTTCAGGGCCAGCGGACTCGCCCATTCCTGGCCGCACCGCCTTCCACCTGCCGATCTCATCCGGCGGCTTATTTTTCGATAACCGCTTCGCGGGAGGGACTGGGTGTGGGGATTCCCTGGACGGAGAGCCGGAGGAGGCAGCGGCCGACGGCCGAAGGAGGTGCCTCCGTCCTGATGATGTCGTCGCGGGGATGCGGGGGCGAGGGCGAATGAGAGGTGCTCCTGGTTGAAGGCAGGGGCGCCATGGACGGGAAGAGCTCGGATGCTTGGGAAGGAACATCTAGCCGGAGCTCGGAGGAGAAGGTTCCGGAAGGAGGCGATGCGCGAGCGGACGAGAGCGCCGGGCAGGCGAGTAGGAAGAGACCTGTGAGCGGCCCAGACAAGACGAGGATACTGCGGCCAGAAAATAGGTGCTCTTGTGTGTGTGTGTGTGTGTGTGTATATATATATATAAGCTAAAAAAACGTATTTTATGAAAAAATTATATTTTCTCCCTTCTCCTATATTTTAGCTCTCTGAATTTTAAATGATTTTAGGCAACACCCTTGTACAACCAACTAATACAAATAAATTGCTATTTTTGTAATTTATTATTTGTCTTTGTATTATAATATATTATTTTTTCACAATAGAAATAATTATTAATTATATTTGTGTCAACACGGATAAGATTTTATCCGGTTCGTAGTTTTGTCTAAGGGGATTTTTAATTCTCTAATCCGAAAATTACAGATTATGGCTCTATAAATTATAAGAAACTAAAGCTATAATTTTAGTATAAAATATATGCAATAGAATTTTAGCAAGTCCTATATTTTTTTAACAAATTATAAAGGGCATGTTTTCTACAATTCTACCTTTTCTTTGCATGATTATTTAATGCTTTTATTTATATACTATATACTACTGTATACAGGTTTCTCGGTGACTCGAAGTTAAACAAGAGAAACAAAGTATTGATTGTTTCTACCACCAGCTTTGATTATGAGGGGTGTTATGGTCATATAGGACATAGATCTAGATTCCGTTTGGCAGAGCTTTTGCTCCGATTTTTCGTGTCTCCTTGCAAGAAGCCATGTCAACTGGCCATATGAAAAATGGCTCCTTGCTAGGAGCCCAGAGAAGTCAGAGCATTTTTTGTACAGAGGAGCCAAAAAGACAGAGAAATGTGGCTTCTTTTGGCTCTTCCTCACAAACCTAATACAAATTATTACAAAACTGTCATTGGAGTTATTTTTACCAAATGTTTTACAAAACGACTTCATCTGCACTAGAGAAGATGCTATACATGAGGAGCCAGAGTCCTTTTAGGAGGAGCTGGAGCCCTACCAAACAGGATCTTATACTAGTTTCTAGGCAGAGGATGTCCTACGTCTATTGTATTGTGGTGATTGTATTACTTATGTGTCATACGTAAAAAAATGTTAGGATTGTGTCTGATGTCTAGGCAACCGATCAAGTGCTCCTTACCCCTCCTTATGTAGTTTAGGGAGCAGGGTTAAAAAAGAGATGTATCCTGACCATTTTACAAATTGGTTTTCTGGTCGGTTATAACAAGGATCCCGGTAGATCTAGAATAGTAACAATGTCTTGTCTTGTTTTCCAACTAGATGAAGAATGGAAAGGATCAGTTGATGGGTAGAGGCGGGTGAATAGCCTATTAAAAATTTAAAAAGAACAACACTAACAAAACTTGTGAGACAATAAGATAGTCATAATAAGCATTAGTCAAGTTTAGTCTAACAAGAGCACCCCTACACAAAATTAGAGGCAAAGCTAACAACTAACATGGAAACTAGAGAGCTCCTACACCTAGGGTAACTAGCATGACAAATTTAGGACCATGTATAGTTAATCCTCACCTAGTGGTACTAGATAATCGTATTATCCAAAGAACTCCTCTCTTTATAATATGACTATCTATCCTAAACTTGGCCAAACTCTTCTCTACACACCTTAGGTCAATGAAAACAAACGCACTACGCATATCCCTTTGTCTTGTGAAGTTGCCTCCAATTCCATCCATCTTCATCATCATCTCACTTGTTGAGCACTTCACCTCCATGGTCCTTGCCACCTCCTCTCATGGCGCCATGTGTGGCTCAACCTCACCTTGTGGACTAACCTAGCTCATCATCTCAAGGAAAAGCATTAATCCACTAGGCGACGGCCGCTGGCTCCCAACCCTACATCGCGGGTAAGGACCTCCTTGGTCTTGACGTCCTGAGTGATGTCCATAGCTTCTGACCTTCACGTTGTCTCGTTGTCAGCACTGGAGGAGTAGTTAGCGGCTTCTCGCCACGAAGAGGAGGCGACTCGCCTCTAGGGGTTCATCATAGCAGAGGACCACGAGCGGGCGGTGGTGGCAGGAATCCGGCAAGGGCCCAATGTCACCCTTGCCACCATGCAGCTGCGAGTCAAGATGGACCTTAGCCGAGTGGCACCCGGGTTTCCAGAGCGCGTCGAGCAGAAGAAGAGGGCAGAGCTGGTCAACGACTTTGCTGCCACTTCGGCCGCCATCGTGGCTGCCATGGATGTGGAGGGTATCATCCATGGCGATGATTAGGAGTTTTAGGATGTGTCTAGGGTCTTGAAAGAATTTTAAGTGAGGGTGTTCTCTTTGGCTTGAGTCCCTTGATTTTGTTTCCTTCGCGCATCGTCGTCTTGTTGTGACCACCATCGATCTGACCGTTCGAATGCCATAACCGCGTGGCCCCACCCTAGGATCGACCCATGAGGCTTGACCTAGTGTGACCCTGTTTTTGTGTCTGAGGTATCTGTAATATAGGTTTGACGGCATCGCACCTTTCTTCATTTTCCTTTCCTTACTTTCACGCGGGCATGAAGCCCTACTAGGATCGGGTTATGCGGATTTGACCTCACGTGGTCCTTTGTTGCACATGAGCTCATGGCGTGTTGCGGTGCGGCCTTCGTGAATAAGCTGTGTTGGCTGGTTTGTGTCCACCGACGGAGAGTCATTTTCGGCGTGCTTACTCCGGCGTGACGTGTTCCTTGCTGGTTGGATGCAGTTGTTCGTTGCTTGGTTGCTTGGGTGTCGAGGTGTCCGTGTTATGGCAGCGTCGACCTCAATGTCGCTACTCGAGGTCGCACGCTGGGGGGTCAGACAGCGACATATTTGCAATGAGTAATGTCGCTGCTCGTGGAGTGACAGTCCTTGTAGGTGAAGCGTCAGTCGCCTGCATACGCCACTAGTTCCAAGCCTTCGGCGTGTGATGATCCTTGTGTAAGGATTCTGCATTACACGGGTGTTATTGTTGTGGTGAACACATTTTGGGTTTTGTGTATGTATGGCATGTGGTCAGCGCATTCGCTTTGTCATTTTGTCGTTTCCTCTTTTTCTTCTAGTTTGAGCTGGGAATGTACGACATTCTCCTTAATCTGATGCGTGTGGGTGCACATTTTAGCCTGGGGGCTGGCCTGTGGGGCTACAAAGGCGCATGACCCGATCGCATGGCAATACGTCGGGGAAAGGTCACAGATCCGGTGTGATGCAAGAAGAAAAACATGTCGGCGGCTAGAGTTCTCTTTCCTTTCGGTCCTCCTTGAGTGAACAAGTTCCCCGTTTCCTTTTAGACTCATGCGTGGGTGCCTGGCCTTGCCCGGGAGCTAGCCCATGGGGCTTCGCCAGGGTGACCCTGGTGTGAGCGAGAAGTCAAGGCTTGGGTCATTGGTTCATCATGGTTTGAAGCGCGATTAGAAAGAACTTGAAATGAGGGAGTCACTGGGACGATGGCAAGCAGTGCTACACCATGGATCATGGGTATGTGACTATGTGAACTATCCCCATGAGTGAATCGTGTCCAGTCGCTAGCGTGAGCCGAGCCAACTCGCTCAGGAGTTCGGGCATTACTGGGATAAAGTGTATGGACGTCATGCTATCTGGTTTGCTCTGTGGGTCGACTCTAAGTTTTTCGGAACTATAGGTGAGCCTACACGTGTTTTGTGAACATGCTTGGGTAGAGAGGCTGAAGTTAAGGTGGATGTGACTGATCGATGTACCAGAAGTTGTCGTAATCCTGGTTGTTGTCGCTCGGGGTGTGCTAAGCCCCCGAGCGCTTGCTCGTGGTGGAGCTGTTGTGGTTCCCGAGCACTGGGCTAGTGAAGGCACTTCTTTATTGCTTGGAGCGGTCGTAGCTGATGCGGCTTGACCTCTTGGGCTGCCTTGGGCCGACATTTGCCTGCTCGACGTCCTCTACGGGCTCATGAGCCCCCAGGGATGATTTCTTCATATCTGCCCCGATGTGATTTCTGGCCAGGAAGGCTCGTGCGTTCTGGTGCTTGAGCCCTCGTGGTGTGACGACATCGCGGTCGTCGTGCCACCGCTTCTAGGTGTGGGTAGCCACATGATCACCAACGATGACACCATGGGGTGGCGGGTGATTTCGTCGCTCGTGTATGCCCTGACACGCTGCGTTCCGCTGGTGGTGGAGACGCCGCTCGGGGCGTGGCTCTGCCTCCGGACCCAGGCTTCCCACGTGGTTGGCCTGGGTAGGGTAGAAGTTGGTGATGGGCATTGACCCATCGGTGTTGATGACCTTACGGTCCCCCAAAAGGATGTGGCCTTTTGGTGCCATTCCCTAGGTGAGTTTGCCATGAGCCGTGGGCCCGTGGCTTCCTGGGTGGAAGGCCTGGCCATGGCTGGTGATGAGAGAGGCTACTGGCCCCCCTATATAGGTGAACTCTAGGATGCTGCCTGTTGGCAGTGCTTAACTCATATTTTTACCTGCCAACTTTACACAAAATTTATACAAACAAACACCAAAACTTAGTAAATAGGGTCTTACACTAAAATATTCTAAAAGTTTTGGTGAGTTGATCATTTTTAGGACATACACATGGAATACATAGGAAAACACATCAAAAGGCGCAAACCAGAAGGCGTAAAGCATAAATGCGCAAATGAATAAAAGGAGAAAGCCCACCTATGCAAAAAACCTGGGCCGAGCACCGACGTGGGAGTGATCCAAGCCTAGCCAGCAGCCCACCATGCGAAGGCGGTGCTGAGGCAGACCAGGCCAGCAGTCCCTTTTTATTTATTTAGCTCTTAAAAGAAATTAAATCAAACTAGACACACTCTTCTTATTTTGTTTTTATTTTTTACTATTATAGGAATAACTATTTATTTTGTTTTTAGTTTTACATTTTTTATAAAGCAAACTAAATATAATAAAGGAAGAGAAATACTTAGCTGAATACACGGGGGTGCCTCTCCCCAAGCTAGTTGATGGTAAACATGGCCAAGGACGAAGTGCAAGGCTA